AACTGAATTTTTGTGATTTTGAGGTTCAAGTGTCATTACCGAATCCCGAATATGAAAGCCTTATAAAAAAAATTAATGAATTAGAACGTTTAAATAAACAATTACTACTCAATGAAATATTAAAGAAACAATTGAATAATAAAAATGATAATCAACAAGTGCATGTTGAAGCTGCTATAGAAATCGCTAAATGAGAACGAAATGCCTTATATAATGATGTCGTTAAATTAATAAATGACCATGAGCGATTTCATTTAGATAGTCTCTTAAATTATTCCCCATCTCAATGGCTTATGATTTATAATCCAGTTGTAGTAGAATTTATAAAAACTCTTACATTTAATGAAAATGAAGACCATTACAAAGGAGAAAAACTTTTTAAATACGCTGTAGTAATTAATAATATATATGGAATAAGACATTTGAAATACGTATCTTCGATTAATTTAGCACTATCAGCAATAAAGTACTCTATAGCAAAATCTAAAACAATAATTGACATCGATGGCCATATTATAAATGCTGGTGGTTTTACCAAATTTATTAAATAGCAAGAAACTTTAGCAGGTAATTCTGAACCATTTCCAAACAGTTTAGTATTTATGGCATTTGATAACGAACAAAAAGGCCAAAAAAATTATTTGGATCGCGGATATAATAAAGTGATCTTTTATACGGTCACTAGTTTTGTTTTATTTAATTTTAATCCTACTAATCAAATACAAAATTTTGAAAATCCTTAGCTACATCAAAATCTTAATGTGTCGCAAATTGAAAGTTTATTTGGCCTTACTCCAGAAATGCAAGTATTACTTGATCGTCAGCTTCATGATTATCTTTCATTTATTTTAACTGAATTATGTGAAGAAAAAAAAGAAGATATAAATGTTATTAATGATTTAGTAATTAATCAAAGTGCTAGAACAAGCAATCAAAAACAATGTCGTGAATGTGGTAAAACTAAAATTGAAAATTCTAAGCGTAAATGTCCTCAATGTTATACGAAACTTCTTACACTTGCTGAAACTCAACAAGAAAAAGAACAAACCATATCTGATAAAAAAGACAAGAAAGATTCAAATAAACCATTAATTTTTAGACCCTATCAACCCAATACAAGTATATCAGATAAATCTACAAGTTCAATAAGTATACCCCAAAATTTAGAATCTCAAGGCGGTGTTAAAATACCCGATATTCTTGTTCCCGATCCCTTACCAATCAATCCAAATTCTGTTGAAAATATTCGCAAGGTTTTTGACCATATTCAAAATATTAGTGGAATTAATAGTGGTAATTGAAAATGGATTGTAGTAGTTTGTGACGGACTTCCTTACCATTATGCACAAAAATTTAAAAATGAATACCCGAGTATCATTTTGTTGCCTGGTCTACTTCACGAAGAAATGAATATGTTAAAAGCCTTTGTAGAATTGAATTGATAATAATATTTAAACTACATTCAATTACCAAAATAACGAACATCCTATATCCAAAAAGGCTCGAAAAAAAAACTATATTAGTATAATGAAAAATTTACTATTCAACTTAATAATTTAATTATTAAACATTAACCTATATAACGAATTTCATATAATGCATTAGCGAGCAACAAGTATAGCAGAATTTTTATACCAGCTCACATTGTTCGTTATAATTAACTGTAATTTTAAATATAAAAATTAATAATTTTTATTATATTACTATATTACGAATATAGGGATGTTGACTTACGAGATTTTGCACAATGCCAAGGATATAGAACTGAAAGTCAGTTAGATTATTTTAAAAAATGTGCTGATCACCATAAAGCATGAGATTCGGTGTGTAATATTTACCGGCATGCAATGGCAATGGAGTTGGTTTGGTCATACATTGTTTTAGCTTTTAATCCGTCCGTTAATAGTTTTCTTGATTGGGCTAAAAATCAAAAAAATGAACTATACAAATTAAAATATCAACAGGTATGTATTTATTAATTTATAATTATAAATATTTAAACTCCAATTATTAATATTTAAATTACACTTAGATTTTTTGGTACTTACAAGCAATCATAAACTTTCGCACTGGCATTAAATATAATCAGCCTTTACTTAAATCAGCTGCACGTAGAATATTTGCTCCTATCTGGTTTGCGCGGCGACACCCCATTTACCAAGCGATTGAAATAGCTGATGAAGAACAATTAATACGTCTCCGTCCTGAGATTCATCAAATTATCGAAAATAATTCTGTTGTAGCATGGTTAGGATGGTCTAATCAGCATCAAGGTTTAGATGCTTTACTTGAAGAGGTGAATAAAACATTAAAAACGCTAATTCCACCTATACCAGCTCAAAAGCATTGGGAAATGGCTGCAAGAAATTGCACAAAATTCATGAAGGTAAGAATAAATATAAGAATAAATATAAAAATATCATTATTTATACATAAGATTTCTCTTCCTGATAAATATTATCTTGGTAGCTACGAAAAAA